TACCTTTCATCCCCAGTAAACGCCAACTAACAATAACATCACCTAGCAAACAGGCTAACGTTATTTGTTGTCGTTTAAACGTCAAAATGACATCACTTGACATTAAAATGACAACAAATAACATCAGTTTGTTTGCTGTCAACGTTGTATAATTTCCTCTTCAACTGTTAAATTCATATCAAATTATACCGCATTTGAGTTATTTTTAGTTATTTCTATAATATAGGTCACCACTGCTACCGTCCAAAGTATCGTTAATTTGACTAATAGACAATTCGATTTGACGCATTCAAGGCGCATTGATGCATGTTAAAACCGTTACATACAAATTGAAATAAAAAATAGAAATATAAAAACAGATTAAACCGTAAAATCCTCAATACATTGCATTATGCATTCTGATAATAAAATCCGTATTTTATAATTGGAAATATTTGCATTTTATTTTTACATAGATTAAATCAACGTACAACGGCTTTAATATGCATTATTGTGTATTAGTGCGTCCATTCGAATTTGCTATAAAACAATTTCTAATTTTACTTAAAAGAATATATTAAATTTGATTCAAATTTAATTTAATATCCATTAAACATATGTACTTTAATATGAACGATGTATGTTTTGAAAGTAACCACAGGAATGGATTGTACATTTTGACCCAGATGGAAGTTGAAAATGACAAAGTGTTATTTGCTCTTTTGATATCTAACAATGCATAAATTAGAGATAAATATATTTTCCGGACATTAAAGAGAGAGAAAGCAAAGATGCTGAGTGCAAGCGAATACAAGCAACGTGGACAGACTGAAGATTTTTGTATTCATGTCAGTTGCATTTTAAGGCAAATTGCGTGGACGCAATTCTATTATTATTCTGATACTGTTTATCTTTGAGAATACAACATCTTGTCCAATTCCGCCACATCTCTGACCTCAGAGAGCACAGAGAGTTTAAAAGAGTTCAAAAAGAATTCAGTGATATGTCATCAATTCTAAACTCATTTTCAAATGCAATAAATATTCTTTTCAGAAAAAGAATTCTTTTTATCCCTGAAAATGAATTGAATTCTTTTTGAATTCTGTACTATCTGATGGGTCTTTTTACACACTTACACGTCTATGCATATTTACATACTCATACATATATTAAATTCATAATATCAATTTTTTTTATATCCAATTTAAATTATTTATCATTTCTAATCTAAGTCGCCATTAACTTCTTAATTTAACTAAAAAAAATGGAGTTATGCATAATAATTTAGGTAAAAAAATGTATTAAATTTAATTCAAAATTTATTATTTATTAAATGCTTATTTATTATTTACTAAATGGGTTAATATGGACGATATTTACAGTGAAACTATATAAATCAAAGAAATAGATTAATTTACATTTTGATCCAGATAAAAATTAAATGATAAAAATTAAAAATAACAAAATATTATTTGTTTCAAGGTATTGGATTACCATTGCTGCTTTGATATCTAATAGTGCACAATGTAATTGTTACGTATAATGTTTTACACTATAGTTTTGAGATGAAATTATAATTATTGATGTAATGTTACTGCAGTTAGTATTTTCCGGGCAGCGAACAAAAAGAATTGCCTTCTGTCAGGACTGGACATGTATTTGAAATACTTTTATTTAAACCACAGTTTTTACAATACATATATTGTATTTTATATTTTGTATTTCAGCGGAGCACATAAAAATATTATGTATTTAAAATCGAAAAATTCTAAGTTTTTTATACTTTATAATTAAAATAACATTTAATTGTCAATCTTAGTATCTGAAATACAAGATACAAAATACAAGATACTTTCAATATTTCGTTATTAATATTGAAATACAAAATACAAAATACTTTTATACGCTGCCATAAAACACAAAATACGAAATATTTGCATGTGCGCCGTTGAAATGCATATAATACAAGATACAATTGTTTTACAAATACTGTTTTTCAAATAAAAATATTTCAAATATTATACAATAAGATTGGAAACAAAAGACAAGTAATGTATTTATGTTAAATACATTACTTTAAATACGAAACACCATTACGGTCTGAATGTTAAGATGTTAAACTATTATATATATTCATATATATAAATGAATTAATTTCAGAAATAATAATTGCGTGCCGATATGATTGTCTTTCAACGCGATCAATCTGAAATATTAATAATCCCCCCAAATTTCCCAAATTAATCTTAATCTCAAATGTTATACATACCCAGCCCTGTCTTCTGTAAGAATTGAACTTACAAATATCTCCGGTTTACGATCGAGATGCGATCCAACGCTCATAAACTGAAGAAGCGTTCTATGTTTATCGGAGAAGTATCATCTATTCTTCTTCTTAGAATTTCTTCTTCTTAGAATATTTACGTTATAATATTCCTCTGCAAATCTGCATAAATTGTACGAGAGATGAATTACCGGTAATACAAATATAACTACGCTCTCGAGATTGAAATGAGAAATACGAGCACACTCAACGAACGACCGCATCTCATTTCCTTCCGTTGAGCACAACTGAGTTAATAATTTTCCCTTTAAGACTAAGTTTAGACAAATAAGAGACTTTCGTGGGATTGACGAAAATGAAAAACAGAAATGTTTTAAATAGCATCAAATACACGCATAATCGTGTACTTATGTGTGTATGCTCGCGTATTACATACTTCGGATGACCTATTCATTTTTATATTCAGAAATAGAGAATAGAGTCCGGGAATGGAGAATACCGCGGAATTTTCAACTCGATCGCGTGGGCGACCCTCGTGAGGGAAGATAGCACGCGAAGCTCCGATACACCCTGCTGTCTACCTGTCAATACGACGACACGCAAGACTGTCGGCGACGCGGGAGCGGGACGGAGGGCCGAGGGAGAGAGAGCGCGAAGTATTATTCACGACGGATAAGCGCACGCGATAACGTCTCGCGGCGCGGCCGAGCCGGTTTATTGATATGACAGCCGCGCCGCGTCTCGCCTCGTGACTCGAGGCGGCGCGGCGTGAATAAGCGCGTCGGCGTCGGCGTCAAGTACAATGGCGCACGTGGTCACTGCGCGTGTGACACGCGGTGCGGTGGCCAGGTCGGCCAGGCGGCTCGGCGACACCGGCGTGCTAGTGAGAAGGAAGAGACAAAAGCGAGCGAGCGAACAATGCACGAGCGCGGCGAAGACGTACTTATTTATAAACGACACGGAGAAGCGGCGGGCATGACATGCGCCATAAGAAATGGAGCAGCGCGCTAAAGCCGGGACGGAAGAGCAGCCGTCTCGCGGAAGTAACGGACCGATGCGAACATGCGATTGTTATTGCGGCGAGCCCGATCGGACGCGCTTCGTCACCGTCGTCGGTCATCGTCTTCGTGCGTGACATGTCGCCGCGGGTGGCACGCCGCCAAGTCTCGTGGCAACGCTTGTCGGAGCGGTGATCGGAACCCGCGTGCGGAATCGCACGTGTCACTCGAATGCCGCCGTCGTGTTGCGGACCGCAGTTCGAATGTCGAAGCAACAAAGGGCTCGTTCCCGATTCAAGGTACTTATACCGCGAAGGTTAGGCACGCCAAGGGATGCGCAGAGCCGAGGGTGGCGACGGGACGGTGGTGGTAGTGACGGCGGCGATGCGTCTCCAGCTTTCTAATTAGGTCGCCCGTCTGCCCGCCCGAATGTCCCACCAGCTTAATAATTGCTTCCTACCGCGGCCCCGTAACAATGCCATTATCGATTGTTTTAATAGACAATAGAATGGGTTGGCTAAATAGCGATGAGTATCGCGAGCGACGTTTCGCAACGTTCGAAATTCTGTAGCTTGTTTCGCTGAGCCGGCTGAGTGTCAATCTGCGGTGGTTCTCTTTGTTTGCAAAACGGAACAGCTGAGATGCGGAAGGAGCGAGACTGTTATTTGATCGGAAACGGTGCCCTGCGATGCTTATCCGCATTTTTGAAGCGCCGTTTAATAATAAATCATAACCTTGCATTGAGAATGCTCTATACGGGTGAATTGTAAAAATATATTTACACGAATAAATTCCTTTTACATGCAAAAATAAGTTTCTTTAAAAACATTTTAAAACATTGCTTTTCAGAGAGTTGATATTTATATATCAATATTTTAAGTAATGAAGTTTAATGGATTTTCTACAATAAGCCATTACCTAAGCTTTAAATCCTAAGATAAAAAATTAATAATCACAATAAAATGCGAGAAGAATAATTAATTATAATTGGTCATTTTCTTACGGTTTAAGATTTAAAGGTATTAACTTAGATAATGGGTTATTGTAGAAAATTTATAAAAAACAATACAACAGAAATAAAACATTACTACGAACCTTTTTAATACAGTGTAATTATTTCTTATGTATTAGGTAATCACTCCTCTAAGGTCTTTGGTTCTCTGTAGTGAAAACAGAGAAGAAGACATGGAGGAGTGGTTGACTCCAAGAACAGCGACGGAGAATCATCCTCAAGGTGATTCTGGGACTGCAGAGATATTGGGAGGTAATCATCAGTTTTACGCAACTAATCATGCTAGACCTACATATTGCAATGTCTGCAGAGATGCTCTTCCTGGTAAGGATCTTTTTTCATTGTAAATTATAGTTATTTAAAAATATTGGTTAAATTTATAATGTTACATTGTTACAGGTGTTACTTCCCACGGTTTAAGTTGTGAAACTTGTAAATACAAGGTGCACAAAAGATGTGCTGCAAAAGCAATAAATAATTGCAAGTGGACAACATTGGCATCCATTGGAAAAGATATTATTGAGGACCAAGATGGGGTGTGTATATATGTTATTAAAAATATATTGTATCTTGGAAATAATCAATAAAAGTACATAATTTTAATCAGAAACATATCTTTTAATAACTTCTTATAATTGTTCGTCTGATAAATGTATCAACAATGTACAATTCTTGTATCATTTAATCTTTATTGTAGAACATCACAATGCCACATCAGTGGATGGAGGGAAACTTGCCAGTGTCCTCAAAATGCTTCGTCTGCGAAAAGACATGTGGTTCTGTACTTAGGTATTTACATCTCACTACATTTTTATGTAAGTAGTTGATAAAATTTAGTAGATATTTAAATCAACATATTATTCATAGGCTTCAAGACTGGAGATGTGTGTGGTGCAAAGCAACTGTACATACAGCATGCAGACCTGCCATGAGTATCAAGTGTCCATTAGGACCATGTAAACTCAGTATAGTGCCTCCTACGGCTTTGCATAATATAGGTAATCTATCTGTTGTATCATAAAATATATTATTTGTACGAATTTGTATATAAATATCCAAATATAAAACTTTTATAGTAATAATAATTGTGTACGTGATTCAATTATTATTAGGTAGCGACGAAGCTTGGGAAGCAGTTAGACCTACGGGATGCAGTCCACTTTTAGTATTTGTAAACAGTAAATCTGGTGACAATCAAGGTATTAAGTTTCTAAGAAGATTTAAACAATTACTTAATCCCGCACAAGTGTTCGACCTTATAAAAGGAGGACCAGGTCCAGGGTAGGCAAATCGCTATTGTATGCTATTAATTACAATTAATCAATCGTGAATCTATAATACGTTAGCATACATGTAGCAAAGTGTGTATAAACGCTTCGAATATAAGAATTACGTGTCTTGCTCAGATTACGACTGTTCCGGCATTTTGATCCCTTCCGGATTTTAGTATGTAGTGGTGATGGATCTGTAGGATGGGTTCTTTCAGAAATCGATCGGCTTGGAATGCACGTGAGTAAATGCGTATTTTAAAACTATGAGTGAGGACTTTATCTCTTTCAGCATGATTTCTTAGCGACTATCATTTCATCTCAAATCTAATTACGTTTTACCAGGGCTGCATTGTTTAAAGCGTTTAATATTCTTATTTCTTTCTGCGCATAGCCTAGAAACTTAGTGATATTTTTTGACTTACAATACATAATGCATGAATGTAAATTGCAGTTAAAATTCATTATACATGAGATTAAAGGAGCATTACCGTATATTATTTTAAACTTTAATATATCTATTTTATAACATGTACAGAGTGATTCTTAATTATATGTCAATTCGGAGAATAAATATAGAGACGAATTTTTATATATACATAATTATTATTAAATAATATATTTTAAAATATTATTTTTGAAAAAAAATATGTATGAATCTTTCTTTCCAAAATATTTAGATTTTTTTTAGTTCAATCGAGTACTGTGAGATAACTTTCGATATTTTTGGAACATCAGAAACATCAGAATTATCACAAGAGAGGGTATATTTAGATATGACATGATTAAATTCGATTTGAATTTCATCTTTCCAATATCGACAACTTAATTCTTGAAATAGAGATTGGTAATTTACAGTTTGATTAGCTCTGAATTATAATCTTTTGAGATGGGTGCAAAACTTGGATTGGATTTAGATCGCATTACTTCTTGTTCAAATAAATTATATTCTGTAAGTAACAACTTTCTGATGACGTTTTCAAGATATCAGAAAATGTACATTCAAACTTTCGCGCTTATCTTATTTAATTGTCTTGGAAAGAGAGATAGATTAGAGAATGAACATTCCAAATATTTTTTTAATTTATTAACGGCTCGGAAAATAAAACTTTTCTCGAACTCTGCTTATTCTTTTGAATTATTGATGTATATTCGAAAGAATTGCCTTGTAACTAATATATACAATGTTTGAGCAATGCTAATATTCAGAGCTATGATATTGCAGCCAATGGTATTAATTTTTTCAAACTTTTGATTATAAACTGCATGGCGTGTCTCTTTTATGATTTTATTCCAGATGAAATCGGTGTGTGCTTTAGGCTTCTTTATATACACGAAGCTTTGTTAACTTTTTTTGCAGGCGGTAAGTGTATGCATGACTAATCTATCTAATCTATAGTTTTCATTAGGAACTAATATAATTAAAATGTACTACTAAATGCATTGCGTAAAATGAAGAGAGATATAGATTTGTATTTTTTAAATTTGCAGAGGCAATGCCAAATTGGAGTACTACCTTTAGGAACAGGAAATGATTTAGCGCGCGTATTAGGGTGGGGTTCGTCGTGTGACGATGACGCACATTTACCTCAATTAATGGAGAAGTATGAAAAAGCGGGTACAAAAATGCTAGATCGATGGAGTATTATGACATTCGAACGCAACATATCTCTGTCATGTCACAAAGTGACTCAGCCGGACCCGACTGAAAAATCGAGCATAGCTCATCAGTATGAAGACAGCGTTCTTGCTCATTTAACAAATATTTTGCAATCTGATCAAGAAAGTGTAGTTTTATCTAGTGCCAAGTAAGTAATATAATCATATATGTGTGTGTGTGTGTGTGTGTGTGTGTGTGTGTGTGTGTGTGTGTGTGTGTGTGTGTGTGTGTGTGTGTGTGTATATCCCGATATTCGAAGGTAATATTATTGCAGCATGAAATTTCATGAAAAATTAAATAATAAAAATGTAAGGCCAATTTTTTCTGTAAAATAGTTTTTTAAATATAAATATTAAAAGTTTAACTAATTATTAACGTTGGTTAAGAAGTCATCTATCCGTATTGTGTGCGTACAGCGGCAATATTTCGTTTAGTATTTAATTGCACGCATGTCACACGAACAAATGACTTCGAAGGCAACGTTTATGATTAGTCAAACTTTAAAAGTTCATACTTAAAAAACTACCTTACGGAAAAAAATGGCTTACACTTTTATTAAGTTTATTTATTTATATATTTATTTATACTGAAGAGGATCCAAACGTATATTTATTTCTTATAATAAAGTATATATAATTACACACTTACAACCTGTGTTGACTCTCAAAAGCTCTCTTTAACATTTTAATTTATACTTTTATTACTTAACTGTTCACGAAGTTTCACAATGCAATAATATTCTTCTGGGATTTCGGGACACCCTCTATGAATTTGCATGAGGTTTAAGTTTTAGCATTTAAAACAAGAGTTTTCTTACAGAGTTTTATGTACAACAGTAAAAGATTTTGAAACATATATACTAGAAGCCAGTCTAAACACAGGGGACCAACAATTGGGAGAAAAATGTACAATACTTCAACAAAAACTTGACCTATTGTTGCAAACATTATCAAAAGAAGAAAGCTATTTCTCCGATAATACGGAAGACATTGACGTTGGCACTCTAAAAACTGACACTTTTAGCAGCATCCAAGAGAAAGGTGTTTTAGAAAAGCCAGAAAAAGAAATGACGAATTTAAAAAAAATTAAAAGAACATGTTATATGGAGAAAGATATTGTAATGTCCAGGTATAGCATATATTCATATATTAATATACATTGTATTATAAATGTTGAAAGTGAGATGTATGTTTTAATGATGTTTACAGAGTAAATAGTTTGAAAAAAGCTGTCAGAAAATTAGTGGAACATGCGGAAATACCTATCGGCGAGCAGAACAATCTTTCGGATGAAAAACAAAGCAGTAAGATGTCAAATATCGCAAGAGTATTCGATAGTTCTCCGATAAATATGACAAGTAAGATTAAACTTGTCATAATATTTATCGGAAAATTATTGAATATTTCCTTTATCTCTACAACGATAAAACTGATTTTCATATTTGTTTTTCTCCGTTATTATGGATAACTTTGGCGAAAAGCAGCAATTGAACATAATTTATCAATAAACTTATATTGTTGGTCTGATCGTAAACAGATCAGGCCATATGTCTACCAATTATAGAATCCAACAGCATAGAGATCTCTTGCCCAAGTCCTACTCCTAATGTGGCATCCCTGAGCCCAATGCCGGATTTAAGGAGAGACTCGCAACCCGAAGAATTATTGACGCTTCCTGCACCCGATAGTTTTGCCGACAGTAGACGAAACAGCGAAAACATACCACAAGGGTAACTTTCAACATGAACTCAATGGCGTATTGTCAATATTTGCATTCTACAAGTTACACGTAACTCGATATAATTTTAGAGTTCTCAATTTTGACATGCCCGCAGTGCAAACTGTCAGCGGTCAAGAAATTCAAGCAGCTATTAATGATAATTTTCTATTGTCCGAACCGACACAAATAGAAGCTTCCTCTGACGTTCCAATAACTGTGACAAAAATTACTTTAGACACAAGTACACCGTCAGATGATGCAACTACAGTTGTATCTCTTGACATGGATTCGTTTCATTCTAAAAATATTTCGCCAGAACACGTGCAAAAACCCGCGATTGTCAAATTAGAAACTAGAAGTAGCTGTACCAATAGTACAGATAGCATGGTTTCCGAAACTTTTGATTCCAGGAGTTACACTGTGCGAAATAGCACATTGAGTGAAGTCGGTAAGTAAATACTTACCAATGTGGCAAGTATCGTAAAAGTGTCACTTTGTATGTATTTCTTATCTTGTTATTAGATAATTTCTCTGACACTTTTCAGATCATAAAGACAGCGATATATTTGACTCTACAAGAAAATGGGAAAATGCAGAGATAGGGCACTACGATTCGCCGGATAATTCCGATATGCTTTCCAGTGAAATTCAACACTCGGAAAGCGGCTTGGAAGATTTGAGTTCCCTCAGACAAGATGTTATTATGGGTGATGTGATAATGGGATATGATTCTGTCAGTGAAGGCTTAGAATTCGAGGAATCGCATAGATATTGCGGCTTAGCCCAATTCAGCGAAGGGAATGACATTGGAAGATACTCATTTAAGAAAGGCAGAAAAAATATAAAGACGGATAAAGAGGTAAATAAATATTTCGATTTTTTTTTAAATTAAATATGTGAAATTAACTGTTTTTATATAAGTTAATTTTATATATTTTATGTATATAATATATAAAATTAACTGTTTTCTGTTATCAGGGAATGCTAAGTAAATATAAAACGGAGGGCTTAACAACATGCGTCCGTGTCTCAGGAATTAAGTCGCCGCAATCTGTGGAGACAAACGTTGTTCTTGAGACTACATTTGAAACCATTGAAAAGGAAAAAACATC